TCAGAGCTTGGTCCACATTGCCGGCAGTATGTCGGGCTTGTTCCTGTTGAGAGTTGGAGTCCGCCAAGGTTGCCCTTTGTCACCGATTCTGTTCATAACTTTTATGGACAGAATATCTAAGCGCAGCCATGGTATTGAGGGGATCCATTTTGGTGGCCTTAGGATTGTGTTTCTGCTTTTTGTAGATGATGTGGTCCTATTGGCTTCATCAGATCGTGATCTACAGCTTTCGCTGGAGCGGTTTGCAGCAGAGTGCGACACGGCCGCGATGAAGATCAGTCCCTCCAAATTTGAGGCCATGGTCTTGATCCAGAAAAGGCTAGAGTGCCCTCTCCGGGTCAGGGAGGAGGTCCTGCCCCAAGTGGAGGAGTTCAAGTATTTTGGGGTCTTGTTCATGAATGAGGGAAAAATGGAACGTGAGATCGATAGGCGGATAGGTTCAGCGTCTGCAGTGAATCGAGCACTGTACAGGCCTGTTGTGGTGAAGAGAGAGCTGAGTCAATAGGTGAAGCTCTCAATTTACCGATCGATCTATGTTCCTACCCTCATATATGGTCATGAGCTTTGGGTTGTGACCCAAAGAACGAGATCTAGGATATAAGCGGCCGAAATGAGTTTTCTCCGCAGGGTGTCTGGGCTCTCCCTTAGAGACAGGGTGAGAAGCTCGATCATCCAGGAGGACTCAGAGTAGAGCCGCTGCTTCTCCACGTCGAGAGGAGCCAGTTGAGGTGGCTTGGGCATCTGTTTAGGATGCCTTCTGGACGCCTCCCTGGTGAGGTGTTCCGGACAAGTCCCACCGGAAGGAGGCCCAGAGGAAGACCCAGGACACGCTGGAGGGACTATGTTTCCTGGCTGGCCTGGGAACGCCTCGGGATTCCCCCGGAAGAGCTGGCCCAAGTGGCTGGGGAGAGGGAAGTCTGGGCCTCCCTACTTAGGCTGCTACCCCCGTGACCCGACCCCAGATAAGCGGAAGAAAATGGATGGATGGATGGATGGATGGATGCAAAATTTGCTTTCATCCGAACAAAGTACTTTGGACCACTGAGCAACAGTCCAGTGCTGCTTCTCTGTAGCCCAGGTCAGGCACTTCTGCCGCTGTTTCTGGTTCAAAAGTGGCTTGACCTGGGGAATGCGGCACCTGTAGCCCATTTCTTGCACACGCTTGTGCACGGTGGCTCTGGATGTTTCTACTCCAGACTCATTCCACTGCTTCCACAGGTCCACCAAGGTCTGGAATCGGCCCTTCTCCACAATCCTCCTCAGGGTCCGGTCACCTCTTCTTGTTGTGCACCGTTTTCTGCCACACTTTTCCCTTCCCACAGACTTCCCACTGAGGTGCCTTGATACAGCACTCTGGGAACAGCCTATTTGTTCAGCAATTTCTTTCTGTGTCTTACCCTCTTGCTTGAGGATGTCAATGATGGCCTTCTGGACAGCAGTCAGGTCAGCAGTCTTACCCATGATTGCGGTTTTGAGTAATGAACAAGGCTGGGAGTTTTTAAAAGCCTCAGGAATCTTTTGCAGGTGTTTAGAGTTACGGCGTTGATTCAGATGGTTAGGTTAATAGCTTGTTTAGAGAACCTTTTCATGATATGCTAATTTTTTGGGACAGGCATTTTGGGTTTTCATGAGCTGTATGCCATAATCATCAGTATTAAAACAATTAAAGACCTGAAATATTTCAGTTGGTGTGCAATGAATCTGAAATATATGAAACTTTCATTTTTATCATTACATTATGGAAAATAATGACCTTTATCACAATATGCTATTTTTTGAGAAGGATCTGTAAATTATGTTTCTCATGAAGCTTGAGGACAATAAGGTGTGGGGGTTTTAAAGACATTTCAACTTTAATGCGCCTGAATACACACAGTCTCTTACACCTGTAGCGTCTTATAACATCACAGTTACTGCTAAGAGAACATGCTACAGACGTAGCGCTCCTCTCCTCCTAACATGAATAAATGTTGATGATCAACCCCTGGTCAACAACTAACCGCACTAAGCTGCTAAACTGGCGAGCGAGGAACACAGGTACCTCCACCTCCTTCACCTGTGTGCGTTTTCTACCGAGGCAAGAGGTAGGAAGAGACGGTGGAGAGTTGGAGGTAATCAGGAAAACCTGGAGTGGAGTTTTAGTAGTTTGAGTATTCTCCTATTAATCAAGTGGAATGGATTTGTTCACAAAGAAAGAGAAATTGCGCCGCCTGAACTAATGTTTTATAGTAAGGGGGGGGGGGGTCCAAATGAACGTTTTTTTAAAGTGGGGGGGACTTGTCCCCTTCACATATAATGGTTGCGATGCCTATGGTTTGTAGTCAGAGAAAACTGCATCCCCAATTTCTAACTCAGAAACAAATAAACCAAAGGTTAATACTAAATCCAGTGTGTGGCCATGCTGGTGAGTTGGTCCTGCAACATTCTGTACAAAGTTCAGAGACTGGATCAGATCTAGAAAGTCCTGAGTCAGCGGCTTTTCAGGGCAAAAGACATATATATTGAAATCACCCAGAATCAAAACCCAATCATATCTGAGCAGAATCCAAGTTAAACTTTCAGAGAGTTCAGCTCTGAAGTCCTTATTATATTTGGGTGGCCTGTATAACACAGCAGAAAAAACAGGATTTGAACGGCCCACCTCAAAACACAGCAGTTCGAAGCTCAAAAAAATTAGCTGGTATCTGTACCAGTTTGCAGTTCCATCGTTTTTTGAAAATAGTTAGTAATCCACCACCTTTGCCTGATGTTCTCGGAGCATTAAAATAAGAAAAGTCCGGTGGTAAAATTTCAGACGGGGCCATGAACTCACCACAGGAGAGCCACGTCTCAGTCACGCAGAAGAAGTCCAGACCGGTGGAGGAGAAAAAGTCCTTCAAGATGAACGTTTTATTAGCCAGAGATCTGGCGTTTATCAGTGCAATCCTTGTTGGAATCACAGCAGGAGAAGTTGTCCATGAAGTTAAGACCAGCTGTCTCGGATTTGTGGAGTTCAACCCACGACTCCAATGACCGGAAGCCCAGCTGCAGCGAACAAATCTGCTGTGGATGCGCGACCCGACCTGTGGGACCGGGAAGGACTCAGGTGGATTGGCGCAGCGCCAGGACAGGTGATTTAAGATGTGGTCCTCGGTTGAAGAGGAAGCCGCAGCAGCAGCCCGGCAGGCTTTGATCCTCACAAGACGGCCGGCCCGTTTTCCACGGCGCCTGGAGCGATGTCTTCGAGCGGGCAGGATACCACGGCGGAGGTAAACAGGAACGTCTTCAAGCAGAGGTGGGGGTCCAAGAGGGGGTCCAGAGTTATGATCATTATGATCAAACAAAGCGAGACTGGTGGCAGATAGCCAGAGATTTAGGAGTTGATGACGTTCATAAACCAGCATGATGACATCAGGGTGCAGAGACTGTAGTCTGGCAGTGGTTAAAATGATGATGTCATCAGCCTGTGACGCTTCAGTAGTTGGAGGGATGTAAACACAGAGGATTATGGCGTGTGGAAACTCACGTGGGAGATATGGTCTGAGACCGATTGCCAGCAGTTCATTGTCCAGGCAGCAGACATGCTCCTTCACCGTGATGATTTGGGAGTTGCACCATTTGTTGTTAACATATATCACGACCCCCCCCCCCCCCCCCCTGGCTGCTCTCTCTTCTAACTGGAGTTCATAAAAGGGAGCACATCATCCCGACTCTGGCTTCACTCCACTGCCTACCTGTTCATTTTAAGATTCTTTAATTTGTTTTTAAAAGATTAAATGGTCTTTTTTCATTCAAACTTTATTTCTGCAGGTTAATCCCATTGAGCCTCGAGGACTCATTTTCAAGAGAGACCTGATTTTAACAAAGAATGATGACAACGTAGACAATCATAAAAAAATAAGATAAGACAAGATAAAACTTTATTGTCCACCAGGGTGGAAATTTTCCTTCGGCTCTCCAACCATGGAATGAAAGGCATTCATACAATCAAAAATATTTTGCGTACCATAGGTAGATGTTATCATTTTGTTTGGTTAAGAATGGTTATTGCACTCAGAATAAATGACTTCTTATATATATTCTTCGTTGCCAGAGGGATCCTATAACGTCTTCCTGAGCTCGGAGGTTCAAACTGACAAAAAGAGGATGGATGCTATCTACTAAAACATTTCTTGCCGTCTTCCTTGTTTTTTTCTGTAAACAGTTGAGACAGAGCTTTTTGTGGTTTCCCCACTATTTTACCTGCCATTGAAACAATTCTTAAAAGTTTCTTAAAATAATGCAAATTGAGAAGAACAAATAAAATGTAATGACATTGAAAAAGTAAAAAAAACAGCTAAGTTGTAAAGTAATGTAGAATACTAAAAACATTAAAGACTTTGTCTTTAATGTCACCAAAGTCATCAGAGAAATAAAGTCTTGCTCCATCCTACTTTGTACCTCTCTGAGCTGCTTCACCCATACTCCTGCTCGGTGCCTCAGATCAGCTGATCAGCTGCTCCTGGAGGTGCCGAGGTCTAAATGGAGGCTCAGAGGAGACGGAGCTTTTTCTGTTGCTGCTCCAAGACTGTGGAACGATCTCCCTCTTCCCATCATTGAGCTCCTTCACTGTCCAGTTTTAAAACTCTTTTAAAAACACATTTTTACTCCCTGGTTTTTAGCACACACTGGATTTGTTCTGCATTGTTTTTATTGATCTTAATGTTTTAACAACTGTTTTATTTTTATGTGTTTAAATGTTCTTGATTTTATATGTACAGCACTTAAGTGGTTGTTTTAAAGGGCTTTATAGATAAATTATTATTATTATTTAACCATCTGATGTATGGGGAGTGTTTCCAACTGAGTGGGCCGGCTCAGCTGGAGCCCCTCCCCCTCTCAGAATGAACCATGCATGTGCACAGCTGCTGCTGATCCCGCTCTCACTGACAGACCTCCCGCACCATATCCGACCTCTGCATCTAAAATCTATCTTTTATCTCAACGTTTGTTAAAAGTTGTCTAACCATGTTCTGTTTCAGGGAGCAGCTGTGACCTGGAGCTGCTGCAGTCCACGGATGCTCTAACAGACAGAACCAGAACTTGGGGTTTGGCCTCTTTGACTGAAAATGTCCATCTCATCACTCTGAAGGAGAACTTTCACAGCTGAGGAGAACAGCAGCCACTCCACAGCTTCATTCATGGCACATTTAGACTTTCTGGTTTTCAAATTAAAACACAAAACCCGATAAAATTCACATATCTCACCTTATTCCTGGTGCTTTTACTGTCGAAACGTTTCTCCAAGAAACTTCTGGTCCGACACCAGAAATATCAGCAATAGAACGGACTGTGGTTTTTTTTGTAAGTTATTTGATTTCAGTTTATCAAAGCAAACATTTTTGTTTAAACATAAAATTTACTAAAATGTCCTACCTGGGTTCAGGTCCAGCTGTGCTGTTTGCAGCTGCACGAACAACCAGACCAAGCTAAGGCTACAGCAATAGTGTTTGAACACGGACCCAAAACAACAAAAAAAGGATTGTTCCTGTGAAGCAGTATAATTTACATTTCCTACCTACAGATGAGGAGTTAAGAAGAATGTGGCTGAAAAATCTGAATTTCAAGAAACCATCCAAAACACTGCATGTGTGCTCATTTCATTTGGTAAACAAACAGCCGACGGGTACTTCTTATTCTGCCTAGAAAAAAGAAAAAGACATTACAGAAGAACCAAAAGTAAGAGCCACTGATTGTGCTTTCTGTGAAGTGAGTAGGCCAATAAACTGTTGTGACTGTGCAGATAATACAGGTGCTGGTCATAAAATTAGAATATCATAAAAAAGTTTATTTATTTCAGTAATTCCTTTCAAAAAGTGAAACTGGTACATTATATTAATTCATTACACAGACTGATATACACTGCATTGCCAAAAGTATTCGCTTACCCATCCAAATTATTGGAATCGGGTATTCCAATCACTTCCATGGCCACAGGTGTATAAAATGAAGCACCTAGGCATGGAGACTGTTTTTACAAACAT